TGTCACTCTCGCACTCACGCTTACAATCTGAAGAGAAAAATCGGATTCACCCAGAGCAAAAGCTCCCAAAAGGGGATTTTCGAAGATTTTCCCAAAATTTGGCGGAAAAGTGGATCATATCGTGCTAAAATTTTGTCTTGCCCCAGTCATCGCTGTACAGCTTCCTTTCGCAATGTCACTCTCGCATTCATGCTTACAATCTGGAGAGAAAAATCGGATTCATCCAGAGCAAAAGCTCCAAAAAGCGAGATTTTCGAAGATTTTCTCAAAATTTGGCGGAAAAAGTGGATCATATCGTGCTAAAATTTTGTCTTGCCCCGGTCATCGCTGTACAGCTTCCTTTCGCAATGTCCCTCTCGCACTCACGCTTACAATCTGGAGAGAAAAATCGGATTCACCCAGAGCAAAAGCTCCAAAAAGCGAGATTTTCGAAGATTTTCTCAAAATTTGGCCGAAAAGTGGATCATATCGTGCTAAAATTTTGTCTTGCCCCAGTCATCGCTGTACAGCTTCCTTTCGCAATGTCACTCTCCTCACGCTTACAATCTGGAGAGAAAAATCGGATTCACCCAGAGCAAAAGCTCCCAAAAGCGAGATTTTCGAAGATTTTCTCAAAATTTGGCGGAAAAGTGGGTCATATCGTGCTAAAATTTTGTCTTGCCCCAGTCATCGCTGTACAGCTTCCTTTCGCAATGTCACTCTCGCACTCACGCTTACAATCTGAAGAGAAAAATCGGATACACCCAGAGCAAAAGCTCCCAAAAGGGAGATTTTCGAAGATTTTCCCAAAATTTGGCGGAAAAGTGGATCATATCGTGCTAAAATTTTGTCTTGCCCCAGTCATCGCTGTACAGCTTCCTTTCGCAATGTCCCTCTCGCACTCACGCTTACAATCTGGAGAGAAAAATCGGATTCACTCGGAGCAAAAGCTCCCAAAAGCGAGATTTTCGAAGATTTTCTCAAAATTTGGCGGAAAAGTGGATCATATCGTGCTAAAATTTTGTCTTGCCCCAGTCATCGCTGTACAGCTTCCTTTCGCAATGTCACTCTCCTCACGCTTACAATCTGGAGAGAAAAATCGGATTCACCCAGAGCAAAAGCTCCAAAAAGCGAGATTTTCGAAGATTTTCTCAAAATTTGGCCGAAAAGTGGATCATATCGTGCTAATATTTTGTCTTGCCCCAGTCATCGCTGTACAGCTTCCTTTCGCAATGTCACTCTCGCACTCACGCTTACAATCTGAAGAGAAAAATCGGATTCACCCAGAGCAAAAGCTCCCAAAAGGGAGATTTTCGAAGATTTTCCCAAAATTTGGCGGAAAAGTGGATCATATCGTGCTAAAATTTTGTCTTGCCCCAGTCATCGCTGTACAGCTTCCTTTCGCAATGTCACTCTCGCATTCATGCTTACAATCTGGAGAGAAAAATCGGATTCATCCAGAGCAAAAGCTCCAAAAAGCGAGATTTTCGAAGATTTTCTCAAAATTTGGCGGAAAAGTGGATCATATCGTGCTAAAATTTTGTCTTGCCCCGGTCATCGCTGTACAGCTTCCTTTCGCAATGTCTCTCTCGCACTCACGCTTACAATCTGGAGAGAAAAATCGGATTCACCCAGAGCAAAAGCTCCAAAAAGCGAGATTTTCGAAGATTTTCTCAAAATTTGGCCGAAAAGTGGATCATATCGTGCTAAAATTTTGTCTTGCCCCAGTCATCGCTGTACAGCTTCCTTTCGCAATGTCACTCTCCTCACGCTTACAATCTGGAGAGAAAAATCGGATTCATCCAGAGCAAAAGCTCCAAAAAGCGAGATTTTCGAAGATTTTCTCAAAATTTGGCGGAAAAGTGGATCATATCGTGCTAAAAGTTTGTCTTGCCCCAGTCATCGCTGTACAGCTTCCTTTCGCAATGTCCCTCTCGCACTCACGCTTACAATCTGGAGAGAAAAATCGGATTCACCCGGAGCAAAAGCTCCCAAAAGGGAGATTTTCGAAGATTTTCCCAAAATTTGGCGGAAAAGTGGATCATATCGTGCTAAAATTTTGTCTTGCCCCAGTCATCGCTGTACAGCTTCCTTTCGCAATGTCACTCTCGCATTCATGCTTACAATCTGGAGAGAAAAATCGGATTCATCCAGAGCAAAAGCTCCAAAAAGCGAGATTTTCGAAGATTTTCTCAAAATTTGGCGGAAAAGTGGATCATATCGTGCTAAAATTTTGTCTTGCCCCGGTCATCGCTGTACAGCTTCCTTTCGCAATGTCTCTCTCGCACTCACGCTTACAATCTGGAGAGAAAAATCGGATTCACCCAGAGCAAAAGCTCCAAAAAGCGAGATTTTCGAAGATTTTCTCAAAATTTGGCCGAAAAGTGGATCATATCGTGCTAAAATTTTGTCTTGCCCCAGTCATCGCTGTACAGCTTCCTTTCGCAATGTCACTCTCCTCACGCTTACAATCTGGAGAGAAAAATCGGATTCATCCAGAGCAAAAGCTCCAAAAAGCGAGATTTTCGAAGATTTTCTCAAAATTTGGCGGAAAAGTGGATCATATCGTGCTAAAAGTTTGTCTTGCCCCAGTCATCGCTGTACAGCTTCCTTTCGCAATGTCCCTCTCGCACTCACGCTTACAATCTGGAGAGAAAAATCGGATTCACCCGGAGCAAAAGCTCCCAAAAGCGAGATTTTCGAAGATTTTCTCAAAATTTGGCGGAAAAGTGGATCATATCGTGCTAAAATTTTGTCTTGATCCGGTCATCGCTGTACAGCTTCCTTTCGCAATGTCACTCTCCTCACGCTTACAATCTGGAGAGAAAAATCGGATTCACCCAGAGCAAAAGCTCCCAAAAGCGAGATTTTCGAAGATTTTCTCAAAATTTGGCGGAAAAGTGGGTCATATCGTGCTAAAATTTTGTCTTGCCCCAGTCATCGCTGTACAGCTTCCTTTCGCAATGTCACTCTCGCACTCACGCTTACAATCTGAAGAGAAAAATCGGATTCACCCAGAGCAAAAGCTCCCAAAAGGGAGATTTTCGAAGATTTTCCCAAAATTTGGCGGAAAAGTGGATCATATCGTGCTAAAATTTTGTCTTGCCCCAGTCATCGCTGTACAGCTTCCTTTCGCAATGTCACTCTCGCATTCATGCTTACAATCTGGAGAGAAAAATCGGATTCATCCAGAGCAAAAGCTCCAAAAAGCGAGATTTTCGAAGATTTTCTCAAAATTTGGCCGAAAAGTGGATCATATCGTGCTAATATTTTGTCTTGCCCCAGTCATCGCTGTACAGCTTCCTTTCGCAATGTCACTCTCGCACTCACGCTTACAATCTGAAGAGAAAAATCGGATTCACCCAGAGCAAAAGCTCCCAAAAGGGAGATTTTCGAAGATTTTCCCAAAATTTGGCGGAAAAGTGGATCATATCGTGCTAAAATTTTGTCTTGCCCCAGTCATCGCTGTACAGCTTCCTTTCGCAATGTCACTCTCGCATTCATGCTTACAATCTGGAGAGAAAAATCGGATTCATCCAGAGCAAAAGCTCCAAAAAGCGAGATTTTCGAAGATTTTCTCAAAATTTGGCGGAAAAGTGGATCATATCGTGCTAAAATTTTGTCTTGTCCCAGTCATCGCTGTACAGCTTCCTTTCGCAATGTCACTCTCCTCACGCTTACAATCTGGAGAGAAAAATCGGACTCACCCAGAGCAAAAGCTCCCAAAAGCGAGATTTTCGAAGATTTTCTCAAAATTTGGCGGAAAAGTGGGTCATATCGTGCTAAAATTTTGTCTTGCCCCAGTCATCGCTGTACAGCTTCCTTTCGCAATGTCACTCTCGCACTCACGCTTACAATCTGAAGAGAAAAATCGGATTCACCCAGAGCAAAAGCTCCCAAAAGGGAGATTTTCGAAGATTTTCCCCAAAATTTGGCGGAAAAGTGGATCATATCGTGCTAAAATTTTGTCTTGCCCCAGTCATCGCTGTACAGCTTCCTTTCGCAATGTCGATAGCAGTCAGATAGAGTAAACAAAGTGCAATTCAAGGGAATTTTTTGGCGTCTGTAGCTAGCCTTAAAAAGTTTCTAGAATTATTTTTCTGATGCTATCAAATTCCACTTTTGGGGATGCCAAGAGCCATAGAACATAAGACGGCGCACAACTAAGGTGTCATTCGATGCAGATTTTCCTTTTCTTTCTAATGGATACAATTTGTGGGATCTTTGGCAATAAATTTTCCATAATTCTTGATTTTGAACCCGCCCCAGCCTGTACACGTAAAATGCGAAACCTTATATTTTCAAGCGGTAAACGCTCAGTTGCATTGTAAAAATTGTGGATAATCGTAACTGACTTTTGAAAATTTCAAAATCCGTAGATTTGCCAGTGTTCGGGGCGTTTCTGTATTTTGGGATTTTGCAAAAGTGAAGACTTTTGGAAAAATTATCTCAAAAAATACTGAAAAGCCAGCTGGGTATGCCAAAAAATTGCATTGCATTGCACTTTGTTTACTCTGTTTGAATGCTATCAAAGCTTCTCTGAAAGTTAAAAATGAAGATTGTGAAAAACTGCCAAATTTGGACATGGTAAAAACCATGGGTTCAAAATTTCGTCGATTATCTCAGTGATCACAAGAGTAAGCGACATGGGAGTATGACTGCTAGAAAGGAGAAGAAAGGATGCGTCGGATAGTGCTTAGAGCGTTTCCGTATTTTCATTATACGTGTTTTTATGATAGGTTAAAAACACGGAAAGAACTTTCGGAACGACCTAATATATTTGTAATCAGCATGCTCGATTACCCCCTGTGCTAACTCCTAGCCCTGTAGCTCAAATTTTGCAAAAAATCGATAAAATCGATATCGATCGATGACGAATAGTAGCCTATGACACCCGCCGGGGTCTGAAGTGTAGGTGTGCCAAGTTTGGATCGGTTCAGAAATGGAATTTTCTATTCGGAACATACGTACATACAGACATACATACAAACAGACATTCAGCTTTATATATAAGATTTAGAGAGTCTTAAAGCCTGGAGGCAAAGTTCTGATCACGATGTACGGTGTTGGACATGGAGAACTCAGCGAGGACTTCAAAAAGTACGTCGAACAAAGGCAGTACTTTTTAAGAAATAGAGAGCAGATCAAGGAAGTAAGTTTGTTCAAAAACACTATGGCTCACCTCAACTTAAACCAAATTTAGATCGCCGAAAACGTCGGCTTCACAGACATTGTTGTTGAAAACATGACTGAGCGGTTCAAGGAAATTTTGGGAGAGGAGAGAGAACGGGTGGAAAAGAATAAAGACGAGTTCCTTTTTGTGAGTTCAACATCATTTAGACGCAACTTCCAGTGCATCCTGGTATTTCCAGAGATTTTCCCAAAAGGAATACGACTCGCTGGTAAACGGATGGAATGCTAAGTTAAAATACATCGCAGACGATAATCATAACTGGAACTTTTTCTTGGCTGTGAAGCCACAAAAGAAAAATTGCTCTGTTGCCACAACGATGACTGCACTTACAATTGCTAGTCACAATCATGATGCATCTCAGTAAGACTGATTGACTTCGTAATACTCATCGTTTCTGTGATACATTACTAATAAATTTATACATGCAAGTGTTGAATTATCGATAGAAGGTTTTGTCTGGTCTTTTGTCTTTTCATCCTGCGCCTTAAAGCGCTCAGGCTATGAAATAATAAGTCGCAGCAAAATTCAATCTTTCGCCCCTTCCCTTTCGTTATTAAATTCCACCATCTGAGAAAATACACTATCTGAGAAAATAAACTCGCATACAGGGCTCTGCACGATCACGAGAGTTGGTGAACTAGTCCTATTGCACATGCAGGATGGCCTGGCACAAGGCCTCAAATCAAGTAAACAATCTCGTAATTTCTAAAATTGTTTCAAGCAAATGAGAGCTGATACCTGATAACAGAAGAGCTTTTGAAATAAAGTCGTCCTCCCTCCCCCTTCCCCCCCCCCCCCCCCCACTAGACACCTAGCGGACGAATTCGAGTTTGAACTATAGCACGCCTTTTGCGGTAGAGCGCGACACACTCAGCCTTTGTCTCAATCTCAAACAAATTTTCTTGTGTTTTTTCGACTTTTCATCCCATTCTTTGAACACAGTCTTCTTTTTTGTTGCTTTGGAGCGATATTTCGTGCTAGCTCGTTTTTTCAATTGTGATTTCAGGTTAAGCTTGGAGAAAGAGTAAGAGTGAAAACTGTGTTAGTAAAATCTTTTCTCAGTAACTAATACGTCTTGGAGTATTACTCTAACGAACTTCATGTCAAGAACTTTCCATGTGCATCGTTTGCCTAATCTTACCTGGAAAGAGAGCTAAAGAAACGAGCATATTAGTATGAAACAACGCCAAACAACGACAACCTCGTCAGTTGATTAAACTCCAGTAAAACAAAAAACTACTGTGTAACAAGAAAAAACACAAAAGGATGCTGCATGAGCTTGAATTTGACGGTGTCGCGTTCGGTCAAAATCGGCGTGCTCTAGCTCAGATTCGCATTTTCCCGCTAGCGTTTAATGGGTTAGGGCAACTATAGTTAAGGAAGCTCGCGCGTGCAATGGCCGCAAATTCACCGACTCCCGCGATCACGCATATAATAATAATAAGTAGACCAGTCTCGTTGCTTCCCTCTCAGGCTCAGCACAAGTTTTCTCTTTGTCTTCTCAAAACGAAGTCTTATTGGACTTGTGACTTAATACAAAAAAACTTTTAGAAAGTCATTGCCTATGATCACCTTCTCACTCTATATCATTCTATATCTGTATCAAAACATCAATTGAAAAAATGTACTGTGGAAGCTAGAAGCGATAGGGAGAAGGTGGAAGAGATTATGCTGCTGAAAGCACGGATGACTGAGAATTAGCAGATAGCTTTCTACTGGTAACGCAAACAGTGTGAGCTTCCCAGGCTGCTCTCGCTTCGAAGACAGATAGGAATCGGGGCAAAAAGTACGGATAATATGAAAATGTGCCATGCTCTAGATCGATATTGCCTCTAGCTATAGTGTGAAAATAATGTTGACAGACTGCAACGCACTGCCGATCAAAGGTAGTGGCTCGGCAAATCTTAACCTAGTCAAATTTGCGCTTATCTGGGGTTTTTCAATTCGCTAATCCCGAAAATCCTCTTTTGAAAGCTTGAAAACGGCGAAAATGAGCGTTTTTTAATGCCCTTCCCTTTGGAGTTGGACGAGTGAAGCAAGGCAGATGACGCTAAATCGTGGCAGGACCCAATGGCTATAGCACTGCGGCGGGCAGCCTCTAATGGTGAGAAGGAAATTGCCAACTCGTCCAGATGCGTGTAAGATTGGCCTGCGCGTGTAAGTTTGAGAGCGATTTTCTCAGCAGGGAAAGCATGCTGTGCAACCGGGATTGCACTGTTTTCATACTTGGGCGATAAGGAACCTACCGCGTTAAATTCCCGAGTTGTTGGATTTTGCCGATCCACTGCCTTTAAGTGGAAGCTGAAAGCGAAGTTGTTGTGTTGGCACAGTTTCGGAAAAGAGGCCGCGATAGAAGCGCATGTAACAGAGCTCTGACGCGTGCAACAAAGCGTCTGTTCAGTTTCTCAATTGACTATCTCTGCAACTTGCAGGGTCGCGAGATATTTTCCTTTATTAATAGCATTGTTAACTTCTTCCAGATGGCTAATGTCTGAAACTTTGTCACCATTGTCTTAGTCGATCCCGAAAGCATTGCTTGACATACTCACCCAAACATACAAAAAAACTACAATCCATGCAGAGATCGTAAATTTGTATAGATGCCGTGATTCTGTTCACCAGTCTATCAGCCAATAAGTTCCGCCTACGTCCTTTAAAGTTCAAAAAAGTTTCGACCACTTCAATCGAGCACCTTTCAAGTCCCCAAATTCAGGATGAAAGACAAGTACGTTGAGGAAGCCTTGATCTTATCCAAATTCAGCAACGATATTGAAGAATGATAGTGCCGCATAAGACGTCGAATAGGTCTTTCAAAAAACGATCTAACGACTCGTTTCTGCAGCACAATTCTTACAAATACGTCTTACCATCAAACCAAACTTTCAAAAACTAGACGATAACGAACTCGAAACTGCTTCCGCTATTTCTAATCTAGTCTCACACCAAAATCACGACACTGCGCATGGTATCAAATCAAGATCACGACCAGGGTTGAGCGTGAGGTCAGGCGCGCTCGACCTGAGCGGTCGTATGGGTTCCTTCATACTACGCCGCGTGCGCCGCATACGCCGCAGCACGCAGCGTACGCTGCTCACAGTGAAAAACGCCCATGGCGGCACAATCTCGCCATGAACACTCGGAAAACACAGGGAGTAGCGGACATAGAAATACAGTGATAGACAGAGTGTGCTGCCATAGGCGTATTCTCGCCGCGACTGCAGCAGCGTACGCTGCGCACGCGGCGTAGTTTGAAGGATCTATTGGTGGTAAGACCGGGGGGGGGGGGTCGTAATCAAGAATCAAATTCGCTCAAAACTAAGGAAATACTACGATCGAGCAAGATGAAGAAGAAAAGCTTTAGACCGATGCATATCAAAATTCCAATAAAATTGAAGGAATGATTGTCGTGACCAGCATATTGATTGACTCCATCGAAGTTTCAGCCAAATTTTTCCATCCCTTCCTGACACTACTAAGGTCAACAAAGAAGTTTGCTGTGTAAATTGAGTATAGTTTCCGTATCAGCACATCAAATCACCTCTACTAGCACTACAGACCACTACTTACTACATTTTCTAGCGTATTCTATCGTCCAAAAAGCTTGAAATTCAAACATGATTAACTTGGTTTCAAAAATGAAAGTCAGCTTTATCATAATCATGACAAAGTGATGTTCCCTATCAGTCTATACTAAAAATTAGAATTCATATCGCTATCAAATAGTGGATTAGGAAGTACTGCCAATAATCCAAACATCGCGTTTTTCACCTTGAGCGCGTCAACTTCGCGGATTACCACAAAGCCGAAACAAGTCGAGATAAGCTCAAACACCTACTGTAGAATGTTCGAGGTTTGTGCTAGCGAGTTACATAAAACTTGGATGAAAAAACGTCTTCGGAGATGAAGTTAATGGAATCGGGCGCAACTCCTCAAAAGGTCAGGCCGCCTGAGCTTTTGTAGTCTTGCGCCTGACCCACCTAACTTGTCTTCAAAACTCAGAAATCAGTCCATTCTTGGTATGGGTATTGAGCCCATAGCCTCTTCCTGCATCAGTGAAAATTTGGAGCAAAACACTCCACCTCTGCGGAAATTCTGGCTCGTTCAACAGGGCGATTCACATCAAAATCCGCCGTCAAATTGCGTGCACTTGTAGTGTGCAATCACAGAAAAGCGATCCTACAGTCTGTTGAAATTCAAAAACTCTGCAGGACAGACTCGTCTTCTCCAGAGTGTCACACTCTGAGGTTCAGGAGGTGGAGAGGATTAAGAGGGGGTCGTTTGGGGGCTCTCCTGGAAGGGGGGGGGGGTCGTTTTCGAACGCATGTGCCTGACCTTTTGCTCAACTCTGATCACGGCACTGAACAGTATACTGTTCTTCTACAGTCGAAACCAGGCGAGCAACAAATTTTTGACGATCACTTTGAGAAATTTAATGATTATCGTACAATCACTAATGAAAACGTCAAAACTAGAGAGTATGGACACATTTTTGAACTCCACTGAACAAGAGTATTCTCAACGACATCTCGACATCTCCTCCACTTCTTTCAGCCGATACTCACGATGAGGATTGTACTCAACCATCACGAGCATTTTGAAGACCAACAATTGATTACCATCCCAGTTATAACCTTTCATGGTCAAATTTTCACGACCAATTCTGATAACTAATCATGCCGGACGTTTCCTGAAGAATTTTTTTTGATACGCCATCTTGCCAACATTCAACAGCAATTTTCTGGAATATCAAAAATTTGGTCAAAATTCGCGACACTCGTTGGAAGCAATACACATCTGGATGACACCACGTTTTCACTCCTCAAATCATGTTTGCGCGATAGGGCTTTGCACTATTTAAGGTCTATTTAATGCTTCAGAAAACTATAGTATTGCAATGAACTCTCTGAAAGCACATTCCGTCGATAAGGTCACAATGAGACATATCTTCTACACAAAACCCTCTCACTCAAATTGTGATCCCGAAGGCTGAAATCTCCTAGCACTTTACAATAGCTCCTCCAACAGTGATGAATTTTAAGAAACAACACTTGGCTCCATACTATTCAACAAACTACCAGCCCACATTCGAAGAAAATCTAAACAAAACAGCAAATGACCACAACCCGCAATCGCCAAGAAAAAAAGCAGTGCCTATGTTACAATTGTTTTCCCAAATATTTTTCGACAAAAGAATGCGGAAACGAATGCAATGCAAACAACGGCACCACACTTCCATGTGCTTCTCTCAGCCAGAAGCGACAATTTTAACTACGAGCAAGCGACAAACACGGGGAGTCGCAGAAACGACAAACTCGTAATCCACGGCAATCCGATCATCAACACTGTGCGAATATCACCGTTGAAGACGC